TATAGACAATAAGTATTTTTATAAGAAACCAAATGTATGACTTTCGTTTCAAATAATTTAAGAGGTAAAGTTTAAGTTTTAATTAAATTTTAATGCTGTGTTAAGCTACGGTTTCCTAGAAAAGCGGTGCCGTTAACTAACGCCCGTCATTTTACGGTTGTTAATAACGGCCGTCTTTACGGTGGCCAAGCTGTGGTTTCCTAGAAAGTAGTGCGACCGTATTTTTGAAGTGTTATTCCAATTTCGTTCAACAAATTTTGCTTCACCTGAGCTTGTCTGTATTCCTTGGATTTGATATTGTACAAAGCTTCATGATTTTTAACAAAATCAATTAATTGTTCATCATTTTCGCTCGTCCAAGTCATTGTATTAATTAAATATGCGCACCGCTACACTCGAAAAACGTTAAACTACTGTTTGACATGACAGCACCGCTATTTGACGTTACGGTGACATTCAACGTTCTTAAGAAAACCTACTCCGATGTTATTTATAGACAACGTATGGGTGACGTCACCCAACGTTACATTACGGCCGTTAGATAACGGCGCCGCTTTTCTAGAAAACCGTAGCTTTTGCCTTAAGAAAGTAGAAGACCCAATAACTGCGTGTGTCAGGCATAAAAGACTTCCTTATAAGACAAATTATCAAATAAACACCACTGGATTATTATTATGAGTTAATTGCATGTGGGATTTGTTGGCACAGATAATATCAATAATTTAAATTATTAATATTCATTTGGCACTTTATAGCAGTTGATATGATTCAAACAAGGAATGACACGAGGCGAAACTGACACAAAAATAGTTCACTCGTACGTAATTCATGTCTCCAGTTCACCTCGTCTTGTAAAATAATAAATTGAAATTTATTCCAGCGAATTCGACAGATTTTGCCCCAGCGACTTATTCCAGCCTTGCGATTCTGTAACTCACTTTTCGAACTCTCACAGCGGTTTTCGCAGCGGCGTTCGCGCTCAAATCAGTCGTAAAGCAGTCATTTTAGGATTTGGTGTGAGTTTTAAAGTGAGTTACAGAATCGCAAGGCAGTTCTAAGACCTCGACGACGTTCTAAAAAACGAAGAGCAACGATTATAGCGGTCTGTATGATTGCTATATAATTGTTGTATCGCTCTCGAAGTAATATTGAATAATCAAATCAAATTGTATCAAAAAACTAAAATTTTGATAAAGATTCAGAGTCGAAATTTAGCGTTATGGCTCCTGTCATACAGGTACTTAGAGATCTTGATTGGAAGATTTAGAAATGGAATATACAGGCCTTCCTTCCAAATAAAATTCAGAACAAATTTTAGTAAAGGCATATTCATATTTTTTTTATTGTAACGGGAAACGGCTAGAAGGCTTGGAATTGACTTACAATTAAGTAATTTATGTATAATTGACTTAAAAGGATATTAAACAAAAGAAAGTGTCCAATATCACTACTTACAGTCTCTATTAAGGGGAAGACGCTCTGTTCTTGTGTTAATTTTTTTCTAGTTACCATTGATTCAGTCTTTTTGGTTTTTCTCTGAAACAAAATAAAATAAAATATGTTTATTAAGGAACATAAGATACATGTATCACTTATTCCACGTCATTAAATTTGAATTTGTAGGCATCCCTACTCATCGGCAAAGAAGACAGAGGGTGTAGGCCGAGAGAAAAAGCCGGCGTAAAAAACTCTCGATACTCTTTTAAAATATCAAATCATCAAACAACACTTATTTTAAAACAAATATCGCAAATTAATTAGAAGTAGCCTGTCTAGCACTAGTGCTAGACTTTATAGTAAGCCTTTTTACACAGCTTTTCTTTAATACATTTCTTAAATTTATTGAAAGGCAGAGATAAAAGAGCCTCTGGGATTTTATTAAAGAAGAGTATCCCTTTTCCCAAAAAAGAATTACTAACTTTAGATAGTCTAGTACGGGGAAATTGCAGCCTGCGTTTGTTCCGTGTATTAACATTGTGCGTATGTTCTATTCTAGTAAACTTATCACTATTTTTGTATACATACATAATATTTTCATAAATATACTGCGAGGGAAAGGTAAGTATATTAATTTCCTTAAATTTATCTCTAAGAGATTCCCTACATTTTAAATTATAGATTGCACGACTAGCCCTCTTCTGCAGGATGAAAATAGTTTCGACATCAGCAGCATGACCCCATAATAATAAGCCATAAGTCATTAAGCTATGAAAGTAACTAAAATAAACAAGTCTAGCTGTATCGACATCAGTTAGTGAGCGAATTTTTTTAACCGCGTAGGCTGCAGAACTAAGTCTCTTCGCCAATCCGTTAATATAAGGGGACCACTGAAGTTTTGAATCCATGGTGATTCCGAGAAATACAGTTGTATCATCCAGATTCAATTCCTCACCGCTTATAATTGGTCTAGTATCCATAACCCTTGCATTTTTTGCACAAAATTTAATGCATTTTGTCTTTTTTGTATTAAGTAGAAGATTATTCATACTAAACCAATGGACAATCGAAGATAGAGCATTGTTCAATGTAGTTGTGCTGTGATGAAAATACAAATCATTACTTATAGTTAAAACTGCAATTAAAATGATTTAGTTTTTGTAAATAAAAGATATAACCACCTAGGGCCCGTGGCAAATCTTCTTTCGTGGCAATTCCTTTGATGGGGCCCTGTCAGTAAAAATCAAACTTCGAGATTTTCAACGTACTCAATTACACGTTGTATATGTCCTACTAATGGCCATAGGCCTCCTCTCTTAGGTGAGAGGGAATGGTCAGTAGTCCCCACGCTAGCCCAATGCGTATTGGTGACTTCACATTCATCCATAGAACATAATATCAGTTGGGCAGGGGCCCTCTTGGGTCGGGGGCCTTATAAACCATAGGTTATATTTTATGATTTTAACTATTGTCGTTTAAAGTACATATCAATTGTATAATATATATATATATATATATATATATATATAAACCAAAATAATGATCCCTTTTTCGTTGTATAAATGTTCTTATTTCGCATCGAAGAGGACAAATGATTCACACATAATGTTTACGTGTCGAACTGTTTGTTTAATAAAGTACTCATATTCCCTGGAGAAAAATCTTGATGCTAGAAGCGATGGTATCCTTTTCACTCTGAGGGACTAGTTACGAAACTGCTAAAGCACGTATCTTTTTTTTTATAGAACAGGTGGAAAAGGGGCAGGAGGCTCACCTAATGTTTAGTGATATACATGGACACGCCGCCCATGGACACTCTCAAGGTCTCGCAAGTGCGATGCCGGCCTTTTAAGAATTGGTACCCTGTTTTATTGAAGGACCCTAAGGCAAATTGGTTCAGAAATACATCAGTGGGCAGCTGGTCATAGTGGTGGTGCGCCAAAACTGCCTTAATAAACGCTGAGTTCTGAAAGACGGACGTCGAGGTGATACAGGGGAAATTTCGTATTCTGCCCCGACGTCCGATTACGAAACTCAGCTGCAGCCTGCAGGTATTAATCCTAACACTTCAACTTCTAGGGCATTTAAAATTGTCATTTATTTCAATCAATTTATAAATAATCAATCAGATATAATGTAATTAAATTCACAAGATGTTTTGTAATGGTAGACACACGTTGGTTGAACATTGATCTGTCAAATAACTGTATTGTAGCGACACAAATAATCTGCGCTTACAAGTTACAGTGAAACCTGAAACGCGATAACTAAGTATTTCCGCTAAGGATTTATACACTTTTCGATATAGGAGGATATATACAACTGGCCTAGACTCTGTAACACTTGTCGAACCACAAGGGTCCTCGCATCGGTGCTTTAAATTGGAGGAAGGAGTCATTTTATATTGGCATTCTGAAAAGGTGGAACAGCTTAAAGATTGTTGTATAAAATTCCTTTTTTGACTTATGTCAGAAGTGTGCTGGAGTATTCAGGTTTCACCTGGACTCCATACTATATAAACTATATAAAAGCTTCGAAAATTTACATTAAAAGTGTGTGAATCCTTAGTTTTAAACAGTAACAATGTATCGATAGGTATGCAGATTCTTGCTTTAGAATGTCGGCAGAGTAAGCAAGATTTATTTTTTTTGCACTTTATTCTTAATAGCCCCTATTTGCCGTCGTTAATTTCTCCAAGAATCTCCGAATGCGACAAAATACTCACAATTGTTCCATGTGCCTACGAACACGAATTATCGCCATAATTCGGCAATGTTTCGGGTTTTATCTAACTATGACACTAATTATGAGGATGTTGATATTTTCCACCTCACCAAAGAGGATATGAGGTAATATATGAAGAGGCGGGAAGACTGACTTTGTTTAGCAGGCGTTTAGTTTTTCTTTGAAATATTAATCGTCGTTTGTTTAATGTTAAATTTCAGTTTTCTTTTTCATATAATATATTGTTTATCTATGTAATCTGTTTTGGCTTTCTACATTGTCTATGTGTTTTGTTTTAGAGGTTAGCTGTAAGATTACTAATAAACAAGTGACGAGAGACATACATTGACTCATTGGTCTAGTGGTTAGTACCCCTGACTGCGAATCCATGGGTCCCGGGTTCGATCCCCGGCTGAGACGAACATCGATGTGATGAGCATTTTGTGTTGTGCTTAGGTCTTGGGTGTTTAAATATGTATTTATATGTCTATCTATCTATAATATGTATGTATATCCGTTGCCTAGTACCCATAACACAAGCTTCACCAGCTTAAAAAAAAAACATACATGAGTTATTTAGGGATTTTTATGGATCAAATAATTCAATAAAGCATAATCAATAAATATATTTTATTACAAAAGATAATAAAATGGAAACTTATCTTATGACTAATACAAAACGAATTTAGATCAACATATAAGATTATTATTACCACTGGCAACACTATGTCATCTTGTCCAAACAAGAGAACACACAACCTTACACATTGGCTAGTCTAAAGAACCAAACAGTCTTATATCCACTCATTTTGTACCGAGCTTAAAATTAATATCACTTTTCACTTTCCGAGCAGGATTTTGCGACCGGCACCAAGGTTTTGGCCCGCCTGGGTGGCACCTTTGTTTGATCCAGCCTGGAGACCAATCATGGTCTGACCGGCCTTCAGCACCTCATCGGAAAAGTCGCGCTTGCATTCTTCAGATGGCTTGGGGCCGAGGTTGGGGCCAGTCCATTCGGGGTGTCTGTAGGTCTGGAAAATTATTTGAGTTAAAAATGCGGATTGGTTTAAACTTAATAATTTATTTAGAATGTTTAGAAAGGTTTATTACTTGGCGAAGGTGCGTGATGAGGAGAGTTTTTAATAATTAGTGTAATAATAAAGAGTACATGTCTGAAAGATCAGATAGTTTTAAAGTGAATTAAATAAATTAATACCGTTATATAAAATTCGAAAGCAAATCCTTAAATACTTTAAAAAAAAAATTTTATTGGCATCTCACTGTTAGCACAGTGTTGACAGCTGAGCTCGGGCTGTTTTGGCCAGCGTAGCTCGCCCGTAATGGGTATTTTAAATTAAGAGAGGGCGCTAAAAGATAAAAGATGTTAACACAGTCTTTTTTTAAATCCAAGTGTATGCATTGAATTTCTGTAATATAATGTAAACCTCATTCGGCCTCAACGCACGACCTTGTATATTTGTGAAAAGTGAGGTAATGTTGCGAGGTCGTAAATCTGTTGATATTGGCAAAGATTCAAGTTCTCAAATTCTAAACATGTCTTAAGAAAATATTCTGTAACGCTCTTGAGTATTACCATTCGACATTTTAATGGTTATTTATGAAACACTTTTGTGTATTTTCAAATTTGTCTATTACATTTCAACATACCAACCATACATATCAACGTTAAATATTTACGAAACTTTAAATTAAATTTTAAGTTTATTAGAATAGAAAATACACTAAGAATTATTTTATATCTTAAATCAAAATTAGTCAAGATGAGTTTCAATGCGAGTGCGTAAATCTTTGAAAGGAATTTTTTTACTTTAATTTATTCTGAGAGAAATAGGGAAGGCTAATTGAAGCGCAAACATGGAAATAAATATTTCATATAAACCCAATCCCATTCCGAACAAAAAAGAGAGAATAAAATTATCACTAATAAATAAAATTTTAACGAAATGGTTTATCTCGATAGTTTAATAATATTTTTTTTTGATAATTACCTCACGGCCCAAAGCATACAGTGTGCTGACTACTTGTGCAATATCCTTCTTCTCCCATAGGTCCACTGTTTGGAATACATCGATGTCTGCGACGCCATAAGCTTTGATTGCTGCCTGGAAGCTGAAAGCCACATTCTAATGATAAGATTTCCAACGCTTGCCCGCGCTTTTAAAATTAAGTATTTGGTGATTAGTTACAATTGGTCTGTTCGTGTTATATTAGGATATCAATGTTTTAGTAAACAAAATATTACCATATTTAAGAGGGCTAACAAATACAAAGAATTTTTGTAAAACTTTTCGAATCGATCACACGGATAATGTCAGAAAAGTTTGGACAAAATTCAGCGCCAAGATTTTGCGCAAGACATATTAAAACGGTATATATGTTCTTAATTGGGGTATAAAATGTACGAACAATTGTAACAATTCGCGTTAAAATCTTTTAAAACAGTTACTTTGAATAACGACACAGATTAGAGAGACTACTAATTAGGTTAAAATTGTCTTTGACTTTCCCCGTTTATGGTAATACATAAAGACATTATTTTATATACTAACTACTAAGTAAAGCTTCTTAAACAGAGAAGAGAAGAGAGATTTTTTTCATATTTGCTTACTTTGTGATGTTCTCCATCATTTTGAATTGTCCACCTGAGGTGTTGATTTTGTTGACGGAGCCAGGCTTGATTTTGTTGATGAGTTGGCAGAGTACAGTTCCGTCCTTGAGGACATCTTCAAATGCCTCACCAGGGGGGAACCTAGCACCGAGAATGGTTTCCATCCATCCTTGGCATTCCTTTTCTTGATCTGGGTTGCGCTTGGAGGCGAGCTGTTAGAAAATGTAAGGTTAGTAATCAGATAAATAATTTTAGTTGACTTTATCACGGCTGCGGTGAACTGCAACCTTCAACATTCACCCTCAAACCCCAAGGGTAACAACAAAAGCCATTGAAGCAGTGCTATTGACCAATCATAATCAGGCAAAACGCGCTGTCGTCTTTTGTTTTATATTCGAACACTATATGATTCTAAATTTAACTTTGATTACTACTAAAGGAAGTTTTTACTCGAAGAATTTAAATAATTTGCTGTATGGTTCAGGAAAGTCTTACGATTCTTGCGCACATTTGACTTGTAAGCTAATTGTGCTTTATAAATTACATGTAATTAGAGATTCGACTCGACTAAAAATCATCATTACTGACCCTGAAAGTTACATTTCAAAGTAACAGATATAAAAACGTGTTGGGCACACAAACAGGCATAGAATACAATAAATAATAATTGCGATTAAAGAATATAACGTGATAAATATAGTCGGCAGAAAACTTTTATCATTTGAATATATATATAATAATAAAAACGAATAAAGAAAGTGTTAAAAAAATCCACTTAAAATAAATTTTAATAAACTCACCTTAGCCCGGACTTGACGTTCAAGAGACATGTTGGCTTGCAAATAGGTCAATTCGTTCCAAAAAGCACTGCGAGACTGATCTCCTGAAAGCTGAACCAGCGTATTTATAGTTCAGGTTGCGCCCTTCTGGAAAACTGCGCATTTCATACCCGATGTCGAATCCGCTACAAATATGCTTCTGACTAAGCCTCAACTGAAGGCGTGGGTTATGAAAATAGCATTGATTCTCATCGAAAAAGATTTTTAAATTGATCTATTGAAATCATATTACGAATTTTTAATACATTTTTTAAACCAACGATAGTTGTAGTTAACAAAGCCTTGAGCTCATTTTGTGGTGATTTTGCAGTACTACATGATTCCATAAAACTAGATTATAATATCTATATCTTAAAGGCCGGCAACGCACTCGGGAGCCCTCTGGTATTGAGTGTCCATGGACAGTAGGCTAACCTGATATTAAGTGCCCATGGAGACTCAACGACAGAAACCTCGCAATTACGTTGCTGACTTTATTAGAATTGGAACGCGTCTTTCTTGAAGGACCCTATGTCGAATTAGTTCGTAAAGACTCCATAGAGCTACGCATAGTGGTGCTGCGTGATCCCACATCCACGCAACGCAAAGGGATGGTCATCGACAATTCGGACCGCTTTTCGCTGAATCAGGAGGTCACGTGGAAGGACCTGGTGAGTGAGACGTGGTCTTATGAGATATCATTTAAAGTGGAGCTACTTTAGAGCAAAAGTTAAAAAAAAGTTATCATTTCAAAAAAAGTTTTTAAAAGTTATCATTAAGTACTGCGCGCACACCAAGTATGTAATAAATGAAACGAGTCCGTGGAATAGTTAATAAATAAATAGGAAATAAAACAGCCCAACAACACCGAAGATCAAGTAAGAAATTACATACTACATTATAATGAGCTAATATTATAATGAGTACTTAAAATCAAATTGAACAATTAAAATGCCACACTATTCCTGAATATAAAAAAAAAAAAAAAAAAAAAAAAAAAAAAAAAAAAAAAACCCCCCAAAAATTTTTTTGTCCCCCCCCCCATTTTTTTTTTTGGTGGGTTTTTCCAAAAAGAAAAACCCCGCCCCGGGAAGGTTTTCTCCCCCCGAAGGAAAAAGGGTTAAAGGCGAAAAAAAAAACGAAGTCTATTGGTGCACAGCTGGTGATTAACTAGGACCCACGATGCATAAAAATATAACATAATAGTAAGAAAAATCAATTTATTTTCATTATAGTCTTCAAATATATATACTTACGTCATTTTAGATTTACGTAAATAAAACACAGTAGACGACTACAGGATTTATGCGCATATAGACACGTAGTCTATTGGTGCAAGCTGGTGATTGAACAGATTGAACATGAAAAAATAAAAAAATAACGGTAATTGTTAAGAAAAATCAAAATTTATTTTTTCTCTCTTCAAATATAAATCCTGATTCTGAATGATTTCTTTAACCAAACACTGTACAACGATTAAGTGTCTAATGCGCATATAGACACGTAGTCTATTGGTGCACAGCTGGTGATTGAACCTATGACCTCAGAGATGGAAGGCATGCAAAAATAAAAAAATAAAAATTAAGAAAAATCAACAATTTATTTTATTCTCCTCTTCAAATATATATACTTACGTCATTTTAGATTTACGTAAACCAAACACAATACAACTGTGATAAAAATTGACTCGGTGGACATTTTCAGCAACTGCCTTGCGATTCTGTAAGGCAGCTTTGGCAATTTTGGCATTCTGATAACAATAAACTAGAAGCTCCTTCCTTATCAGAATGCCAAATCGTAAAATGACTGATTCACGTCTGATTTGAGCGCGACCGCCGCTGTGAAAACCGCTGTGTGAGTTCGAAAATTGATTTACAGAATCGCAAGGCTGTATAGAGAACTTTCGCTGAGTCGTTTTAGAAACCTTGCTGTGTTAATTATTTGCTATCATTATTTTTTTTATTCCCACAAAATCATGTTTTTACAGTGTATATTCGGGGATGCTTAGCGCACCCATGCGACTTCTTCCAAACGTCGACATTTAGCTCATAGCGAGGTCCCCTCGTAAGTTGTGTGCTGTTCCATGGCTCTGATTAGCGCTGCGCCTTAAGTTCTCCTGTCATTTTTACACGTGTTTATCATTTCACAATTCATTTTTTCATAAATATCTGAAGGAGGACATCCTTGTAACATGTGTGATGTTTGAAAAATAAAATACAATGTAAACTCTAACGCTGGCCATAGACGGACCGCATGTTGCAGCCGAGACCGACTGCTCTAGAGCGGTCGCCGAACGGCGATCTGCAGTTTCCATACTAAATTAATATCCGCAATACACGGACCACTCGAGCGGTTCCTGAGCGGTCGGAGCAGTAGCTCTGCGGTCGAGTTTCCCCGTGCGGTCGACTGCTTAGAGCCGGACCCACCATACACGGACTGCTACGAGCGGTTGCTGCCGATCGCGCGCCACTCCCACTTCCACTTCTCTTTTGGAATCAGTCTGTTGTATTTTATGGCTTAAAATACTAACTAATTCATCAAATGAAACCACAGACATTCTAAAGTAGTTGAAAAACTGTTTAGTGTCTTCTCTCAGCTGTGGATACAAAGTATGAAATTTAAGTAAAGTCAGTCGATAAAGACGAACTGTAAAACGCCGAAATTACTCGAATCTAATGTTGTCTGAAATGAAACATTTCTATTCATATAACGATAACTTTAAACAACTCCAGAAAATGCGCAGTATTTTCAACTTGTATAGTTTACAATGTATGTACTGGTAAATATCACAAAATATTATTTAAATTAGGTAATTTCGAACAGGTGTTCGAAATAAATATTTATTATTTCGCTTGGGTTACTAGACGCACTTGAATTTGATTACATTTTTGCCTACTTTATTTATTAGTTACGCCCTCAAATTTATAAATTTTTAGTCAATGTTTGTGCGTATTGTGAACTGTTGTATGGAAAAGTAACAGTATATATGATCAGTTTAACCTCTCTCATTATTCCCTTAAATTTCTCGTTATCCTTACTGACAATTGAGTACCTTTCTTTATGTTAAGAATATGTCTAAAACGAGCTCATAACTCTCTAACTCTTTTTTTATTAAATTGTGTATCAACGGCCGCCGAACAGTTCTCTGTGGTAACAGTACATTATATATTCAAGGCATTATTAAGGTGCAAGGTACAGACAAAAGACCGCCGAAGCCACTCTTTGGAGGGGACCTCCATAAAAAAGAAACGTAGGAAAATCACAAAAGGCATTCAGGCATCAGGCAACGTGAGGACTGCCGAATTACTTTTCTTGCCGTGTATCAACTTATACACGGCAAGAAGATACATTGTCTGAGCAAATTCTCGGCGCACATAAACATTGGACCAATAGTTCGTTTAATAGCTGAAAGACTGTGGAGTAAGATTATGACTAATTCTAAATGTTATTATTGTAGATTGTCGCATATAAAAAATAAACTATTCGAGTATACAACAGCTAAATATTATTTTGTTTAAAATTAGAAGCAAATACTACGAGGCAGTGACAAATGTTAACATTGGCGATCTAATTTAATTTTGTCAGTGAGCGTAGGAGGGAACAAAGGGTACATTATATTTATTTATACCATAATATGGTATAAATATTATATTATACAATATTTTTGTAACATCAATGTATTAGAAAAACGTAATTTAGAACCGTCGTACTTGAAAATCTTGGCAGACATTAAGTATTCTTTCTCACTCGTTATCCTGTCTTATAAACACTTTTTCTATAACAATGCAAATGGGCAGGCTAATCTGATTTTAAGTGATACCGCCGACCGTGGAGTGTCTTTCAATGCCAGGATAACGAGTGAGTAGCGATATTTTAAGGATTCGTACGCTCTTTTCTTGAAAGGGTTCGGAAATACTTCAGTGGGCAGCATTAGAGGCTATTTTAGCTATCCCTTCCAAATCACCACGAAACTGAACGTTGTTCGATATGTCAACGCCCCTTGTTCCAATGCTAGCTGCGGCTTTCAGGAAAGTGTCTTCGAAAAGAAGAGTAGCGACAAAGTGTGTTTTATTACCAATAAATTAATAAATGATTTTGCGGAAAAGCGCAAACATGTGTTCTTGGGGTTAAATTGGACTAGATTTAGTCTAATTCAGTCCGAGACCCTACGTAGCAGAGTTTCGACTTCGCACACAAGGTTGACTTAGACCCTGAAGCTGAGGTGTCGAGCAACGTTAGACTTGCTTATAAAATAAAGCCAGGGGTTGTATAGCCTCTAATTGTATTTTTTTTGTAATAAATATTGTATAGTTTAATGTTAAACCTAATTTTGTTGGTATTGTCAGTTTTAATTTGAGAGATGAAGCCAATTGGAGAAGGCCGAGGGTTACGAGGTTCCTGAAGAAAAAATCGATGATTTTTTTTAAGTGTGAGTAATGTGTATATTTTATAAATGTTTCAAGGAATAAATGAGGCTTATTTATTATTGCTATTGATTTAGATTTCCAAGTATGTGCACTAAATTTTATAAGTCATTATAATTTAAATCAGGTATATTACAAGTTAGGAAACAGTTTAAAAACGTTGCTTGGGCGTACATAAATAAATAATTTTATAGTCAGTCAAACTGTTATGTATTATATAATAAAATCTATTAATTTAATAAAACACTATTTTGACCGGATTGAAGTTATGTATTATTATGTAAAGTAAAGCACGCGAAACGTCGTATAAATTTAAAATTATGTTAAATAGTTGTAAATTTATAATAATACATAACTTCAATCCGGTCAAAATAGTGTTTTATTAAATGAATAAAAGTTATGTTAATCAAAGACAAAATCTATTAAGTCATTAGTCATATGTAAGACGTCCTCAAACCAATTTATAATTAAACTAGTGGAGCCCACAGACGTTGTCCTGCATGATATTTAAAGCTATTAGGATATTAAGCAAAGTATGAAAGTACCGACTGCAGTGCCATCTGCCGGGCTGATTTGTGAATCTAAACCATTCCCAGATCCCCTTGAACACACACAAAAAATTTCATCAAAATCGGTCCAGTCGTTTGAGAGAAGTTCAGTCACATACACACGCACACAAGAAATATATATATTAAGATTACAAGCCAAAATTATTTGACATTGCATTATAATTATGCATGGAAATATAATTATGCCCAAACTACTTCCAGATTTTCCTGTAACCACACCAGCAACAGCATTTACACTTAACTCATTTCAAAATGTTACTGAAATTTGTCCTTTGTAGTCCCAACTGTTTAAAAAACTGCCCTGCGATTCTGTAACTCAACATAAAATATTGTCATTGACTCACATAACGGTTTTCGCATTTGCGGACGACGCTCTTTAAATCGGATTGAAGCATGTCTATTATTATGATTTGGCATTCTTGACAAAGGTGGAGCTTATCCGAGTTTATTGTTTTTTTTTTTTTAACGTTACATACATAAAAGTTTTAAGCTTACAAAAGTCGCCTCTGGCATACAAGTTCACTTACGACCTTATTGCTTACATTTTATGGACTTGGCAATGTTTAAAATAGTGGCAAATACATACTCCTATTAGCCTCCTTTATAGACTGTAAAAATATTTTGGCTAGGTGACACAATGATTTGCAACATAAATTTTGTAACAAGATTATATAAAATGTTTGTTAGAGTTAGGGTTAGGGTTGTAGGACTCCTTTTTCCGCAATTAGACTCCTGATTGGTCCATTGTGCGTTAAAATTCTGGCTAATTTAGCCAGCCTAGCTCCTTCCAGAAGCACAGAAGTCTCCTGGGCACTTCACAGGCTTCCCGGAGCGACCTCACTGTTCCGAGGATTTTTGCACGTTGATTAGCCACAGCCTCGCATTCCAGGACTACGTGGGTGACTGTTTTCTCTGCGCTGAAACAGCCTCTGCACAAGGGGCTGTCTGTCGCGCCTAAGACAAAAAGGTGTTTATTTAGGAGACAATGACCCGTTATTGTCCCTATAATTGTTTTAAGATTAGTTCTATTTAAGCTTAGTAGTCGCTTTGTCAGAGCCAGCAGTGAACCCGCAACGCAAAGCAGCAAAAATTTGTGTTATACACATTATATTGCTAAGTGCGCATTTAACACTAGCTCGTACTGTTAACGAAAACATCGCGAGGAAACCGCTCTGTCTTACAACGAAAACTCGAACGGGGTGTGACAGGCACCGGTGATTTATGAAAGTCAATATACATCCGACTTCCATAAAAGTATTTACTGTAATTTTTGAGCTGGCATTTGTTTTAACTCCAACGCCCGCCCACGAGAGCTTTTTTCGTTACACGTTGACTTGTCGCTGTCGCGAAAGCCCACGTTGCGCGTAAATCGAAGCGTGCGCACGGTACTAATACGAGTCTTAAATCTTAATTAAGCTTCTTTTAAATTGTTAGGATTTAGATATCTATTTTTTACTCCTGACTAATCTATCGAAAGTATAAAATAAAATAAATCAGTGGCGCTACCACCTTTTTTGGGTCCGGGCCTCAGATTTCTGTATCTGTTTCATGATCATTTGTCAATCTAAGAGATTTTTAGGGGTTTCAGATATATCAGACAATACTATTATGACTATATCAAAAAATACTCTTATATTATTTGTGAATTCGTTTTATTACTGTGTATGTTGTCTTCTTAGGCTTTTTTGTTTTTCTATTATAGTTAACACTCTGCCTCTTCACAGGATGTGTTCTGCTTTGGATTCTGCCACTCACATCGACTCTTTTTCGCACTCCTCTACTGCTCTCTAAAAATAAAATAAAACTATTAATGTCCTAATCCTTGTATCTTTCTTCTTTATTATAGATACTACGTTTGTCGGTCTCCAGATTTATAAATTTTGTGCCGTCATGTTTTGTTTTGCTTTGCAAATTTTTTATCATATTTTTTACTAGTGTCTACTACTCGGCCAAGCGTTGCTGTGGCTAAGATTTTTGTTATATTACATAGTAGTAAACTATTCAAGAGAAACGGCAGGAGAACACCAATCCACCATGCTTTTTTGGTGGTTATGCCATTAAATTGTAGCTTATGTGAAACGTTGGTAATTATTTTGATAAGGATCAATACCTAGGTACGAATAAAGAGCCTTTTCTAGAGTTGGTATTTTAATAAAAAAAATAATACAAGGACGCTTATTGTGACGTAACTATAAAAGATAGAGACATGCTATCGTGACGTTTTTTATAGATAGTGATGTGTCCTGAAAAATTGTAATCCATCATTTTGTTCTATCATTAATAGTTTTCGCAGCGCACACGATTGAAGGAAGTTTTTTTTTTTTTTACACCTTGGGTTAGATTATTCAAGTTTTAGTAAGCATCCCTAATTTTTTTGAAAATGAAACATAGCCTATGTCACTCGGGAATAGTGTAACTTGCCAAGGGTAAAAGAATTTTTGAAATCGGTCTAGTAGTTTCGGAGCCTATTCATTTCAAACAAACAAAAAATCGAACCTTTCCTCTTTATAATATTAGTATAGATTAATGATACTTTTAGTGTATACATCCAATGTGTTTATTGTATGTTTTATTTTTCAACTTTTTTTTGTATATGTTTTTGTTTGTATCTGTTTTGTTTTCAAATAAATAAATACACAACTTAGTAAATCCCTCCACAACCAACTAAAGATGATCCAACTGTCAACTATCATTTACAAACGTGTGCATAGATATTTTCGCCATATTGCGACGAGAAAACTGCATAATCTCGAAGAACTGATAAGGGTAGGATGGAGTAATTGCAGGAGAAATCGGGGTCGATCGCCTTGTTGTCTGACCTTGAAAACTGGAATTGAGACAATATGGGTGTCAACATATCTAATAGCCTGAGACAATCGAGGATAGAGCGATATGGATGCGTCCTTTAGAAACATTGACTACGACGAAGATATAATGTAAGGATTCTGTATGTAAAGGTTTTCATTGATTTTATTCTTATCTTCTTCTTCTCAGTAGTATTTCATTGCTGAAGGTCGTGTCACTGTAAGGTGCCAGCTGCTCTGCTAGATATATCTCTTGCCTTTGTTCCATCTATATCATGCTCGTGAACGGGTGCTGCTTGTGGTGACTGGTACTTGAATTCGTGTATGCGGTGATGTTGGTTATTTCGACTATGTTTTTGCGTGTTGTTCCCACGAGAATGTAAGTGCGTGCTCCTATTTCACCAAGCCTTCTGCTGATAAACGACGAATCTTTGTTTTTAATTTATGTTATTATTAATTACTTAAAATGTCACATGGGACATGGTGCAATGGTTGCAGCTCCTTACAAACATTTTGAAAAACAAAACATTTTGTTATTGCCAGTTCTTCTCTCCCGTTCTACGCCCTTGATTTGAGAACTGGCACTAAATGTAAAATTAGAAGCATTCATACGTATTTCTTTACTGACAAGTCATAAGCGTACATTAAACTTACACTCAAAAACTTTATTAAATGTATTTTGAATAAAAGGGGGGAAAAAAAAAAAAAAAAAAAAAAAAAAAAAAAAAAAACAAAAAGAGGGGGGGGGGGGGGGGGGGGGGGGGGAAAAAAACCCCCCCCCCCCCCCCCCCCCAAAAACCAAAAAAAAAAAAAAAAAAAAGGAGGAAGAGGAAAAAAAAAACAAGGAAAAGGAGAAAAAAAATGGCCCCCACACTTTATTATGTTACCTACGTGATTAAATTTTTATAGCTTCCTATAGGGAAACTGTTATGGGAGACCCGTCATAATCGTGACTTGGTTGGCGATTTGTCCGCCTTTTGCCTTTCACCTGCTTGTTCAGGTGCGTGACGGCCGATATGACCAAAGTAAGATAGATAGACTATAGCATTGAGAGTCTCGTACGAACTCTGAGTTGCTCCAAGATTGATTGGTTAGTATAAGGTATTCTTAGCAAGTAATAAATAAAACATATACCCTTTATTTCTTTATTAAAACACCCTCCACAATTCTTATTACAACCGCAGTATTATGCACAACAGTTTATTTACAACAAGTTTACTTACATGTATTTACACTAGCTATAGTCCACGTTGTGAACGAAGTGTTGCAATAAATAAATCTCTGATAAAATAATTCAATGCGTTAACATAAGCTTCTACGTATTGACTATTTCATTATGACTAGAAATTTAAAATGCACTAACGCTTTTGCGTACTGGAATGTTTTATCTTACGGTACACGAGCGTATACACTGTATTTACAACACACAAAATTCGATTATGTTAAATTTATCGTCGTTCAAGTATTACGTTAGCACCATAGGGAGGAGGAGGGGGGGCTTTGATTTTCTTCTTTGGTGATTACGTCATCAGTAATTATTTATTACACATATTACCCACACGTTGTCTTGCTTGGAAACAAAATGTATTTTCGAGGATTCCTACAAAAAATTAATACGTTTGTCTATTATATTTTTGAGAGCTTTGCTTACTTTTGCTGACAAGAGGAGGGGTGGGGTGGAATTGCAGTAAATGTACTTACGTAATACTTGAACGGCCCCTAACTGCCCGTTACATACGCACGATAAAGACAGGGAAAACTAAGCTATATCTATCATACATCTACAATTAAATGGACACAAAAGTTTTGGCACTTATATTATTTGCAGTCTTATCCGACACTTTCTAGTTCACATCACCATGGCCAAGAATTGTCCTATACCGTAACATGCCCGGGGCAAGCAATCTAGAAGTAAAACGTGGATTAGAAAAGGTGGTTGTTCGATTTCGCCAGGCTCCCGAGATGGTCGGACAGCAAGTAGTTGGGTGGTGCGACGCCGAGAAGTGGGAAGCCTGAAGGCTGTCGCAGCAGACCGCACCCGCCCGCCCACTTGCTGCCGCCCACGCTCACTGGGGGCTCACCGCCGCCCACGTTCAGCTCGTCGCAGAGTTTGTTGCCTGAAAGACGAAAGTTTCAATTAAACAAATTTCAATTTAACAAAGTATTACTACTAACCAACTAAATAGCAGTGACATTTTTATTAATTTATTTATTCAAAAAAATAACAATACGAAAATGACGAAACGAAAAAATAAAATATACAGTATATATACATAAGATACACAATAATTAATTATTAATTTTTAATTATTTTTATTATTACTATGCAGGTTATTTACATATTATTAAACATTTTAGATACACAAAATCGCCACAGAGAACATTCTGCAAACATATAAAGATGTTGATAGTGTCGGAGATAGCATTCAGTAAGCACAACGTGTTTATTAACAGGGATCTGTGCAACAGACTCATTCTGGCCCTTGGTATCGCAAAGAACCTTGGCCTTCGCTGTCACACATATCCCCAAAGGTACAAAGAAACCGAGTTCTTGGAGAACACTTGGGTTGTTCACCATCCCTTGCAAGTACATAGTGGGCCAACTGTATAGTCCCGTATTGTTTCTAATTTATTGTTCCCTAAGACATATACGTACACACATCCTGAGCTGGTTCCAGATCCGGGAATAGCCACCATTTTAAACAAGGCAGCAAGAACTTTACATAAAATTATATCCAAATACACCAATATAATTTAAAAATGGAATTTCTTACAATAATTACAATGTATGTATGATTCACCGACTCGTAGATTTCAATTCTCTAAAAATGTACTTGTTATAAAAAAATAGTCAAAAGAGAAATCAATGATTATCTGTCTGATCCCGGGTGAGTGTATATTTATTTATAAGTCCTAATACAACATGCTTGTACAAGAAAATATGACTTCACAAATTTTAGACACACACGTGAATGCATTTCATAGAAGCTGCGGTTAGTTTATATGAAATAATCGCCGTAACGCAATTAAGGCCTAATCACCTAATCCTTGCTATGCGGCGTTGTTTATTCAGCCTGAGTGACAATCACGCGAACAATTAGCGCAAATGAGCCGAAGTGAAAATCTGGGTGGCGGGCGAGGTAATGTGATTAATGCAACCACAACTCCGCCATTACGCGTTCACCCACCAACGTATATTAGCGTTTAGAAAATGCCACATGCTGCTTTTCCGTAATAACAGATGAATCTTTAACAAAAATTGCGCTGGCGGTTACAAGCTGGCAAATTAGATCTCTTTCATTGTTACTAAGGCTTCTGCCTAACACATCAATTTTTCGGTTTAATGCATGAGGTATTAACCCATATGATTTCAACTTCAGCCAGTAGTTTCAGAGAGCTGGTTCTACAATATATTATATTGGTGGGCTTTTAACACGCGAAAAAATACAGCGACCGAAAACAAGCGATGGGGAATTCCCCGTTCCGTTCGAAATACGCGCATCGCACAAAGGTTGATTTATCTCAGGGATACCAACCTTATGATTGGATTTTTTTTTTTTTTAAAAAAATGCTTTTTTTTTTTTTTTTGTGGGGGGCTTGGGGCCCTTTGTATTCACGGGGCCCCTGGGTTATAGGCCAAGCCCTTAACTAGATTCGTCCCTGAGTTTTGCTTTATTATAAAACGTGAGCGGAAGAACGGTATTTAATATTAGTTAATCGTAAACAAAAGTCACGCGTTTCTATCATTCTGCGATTTGTTTAAAATTTCATATATATTGTATTTCGATCAAAAATAGTTTCGACGAAATTAAACAAAGCATATTGTCGATTCGACTAATCTTTGACCGTTTAGTGTCACGTGACTGTCGTATAAAAATATTTTAATCTGTAAAAAATCTGTGGCGCTACAACCTTTTTACGTATGGACCCACAAACTCTGTATCTATTTCATGATTATTTGTCAATCTAAGGCAAGTGGGTGATCGACAGACGCCATCGACTTTTTGGGTCTAAGGTTTCCTCATTATGTTTTTCTTCGCCGTTCGAGCGAATGTTAAATGCGCACATAGAATTCCATTGGTGCACAGCCGGGGATCGAACCTACCACCTCAGGGAATCCCACGCTAAAACAATGCACTTCACCATACCATACAAATAAACAAATTTTTTTTCTTCTAACCAAAATTACTCTTTGAAATGTTTTTACTGATTAACTGTAATATATTCGAATGCCATCAATTCGTTAAATGCTAATCGAACTTGACCCAAATTCCTCAATTCTATTTTAACTGTTATCATTGAAGTCCACTTACGCTAAATTTAAAATCTATTTTGAGATTATATTTATAAAGATGTAATCAGCCTTGTCGCCCACGCTTGCTTTTTAGTTTGTTTGGTGATTCATTCCTCTGTGATTTCAATCATGGATTTTTAGAATTACGTCTTAAAATACCTTGCAAGCATACATAGTATTATGTACATTATACATATATATAGTTTATATGTAATGAGTTTCCTCCGCATTCAATGTTACATAAATTAAATTATGTGTATTAATAAATAAATAACTAACCTTAACATATAATAATTAAAAGGAGTCCCTTTAGGCAAGGTTCCGAATATACTGGCAGCGTTCCCCCTTTGAATAGCTAGACTAATTCTTTGTCCGCGATAGCTGCCAGCTCTTTGGTCTCCTGTGATGTCGACTAACCTTTTTGATATTTCCTTAAAAAGCCTTATAGCGCTAGGACTCCACGGACCAAGGGTCTCGACACCGAATGGATAAAAATCATATTCTGAGCCTAGACCCCTGTATTTGCTAAGTATTTATATATAGTTAAATTACTGATGTTTAGAAGATCGGTTACTGTCTTTCATTAGGGTAGCCTTGAAGAGAACGCTTAGTAGGTATATAAGGCCGCCAATTGAGATTTTTTTTTTAAACTTAATGGCAATTTTACTATTTCATTCTTGGGCAAAAACGTATAAATAAAAAAGGTGTTTAGCTTAGTGTGCAATTCTCATCCCTAGGGTCGTAGGTTCGATTCCCGGCTGTGCTCCAATGGACTTTCTGTCTATGTGCTCATTTAACACTCGCTTGAAAGGAAGGAAAACATCGTGAGGAAAGGCATGCCTTAGACAAGAAACCGTCGAGTGTGTGTCAGGCACCTACTTGCCTATTAGAAATGAACACGGAACAGATACAGAAATCTGAGGCCCAGACCTAAAAGTCATAATACTATTGGTATTAATATAGATGTTAGTTTTTCAATTAAGTCTTTTTCTATTAAAACAAAAATGGACTCTTTTGTTTCATTTATATCTTTTACTGTTGGATTCATAGGCCTGGTCTCAAAATGACAGAGGAAAAAATGAAACACATTTTAAATTTACAGAATAAAATTAGATCTAGCCCGCGTTTCAACGGCATCATTAACATCAACAAATTCTTAATAAAAAAAATTAGATTCTAAATGTTCGTGCTGTTTTGCTAACCAACTATAACGCACACATACCACAATGTTTTACACATAAATAGATGTATTAAAGCTATTTATAGAGATTTTAATGTACTGTTTACAGTACTATGAACACAACCAGCGCGGTTTGTAACTTCTAGTAGCGACAGCAATCCCGACGTTTTTGCCAACAACTTTGATGTAGATCTCATATTCATATTGTCACAAGTATAGTATCGGGCAGCACTCATTATGCTCAGGATAGCTGTCGTTATCGCTATTGGAAACTACAAAGGGCCCTGATATTGATTTCCAAACTAAATAGCTATATATTGGATCCATTTAATTGATATTGTAATCCCAGAGAATGTAAGTGCGTGCTCCTATTTCACCATGCCTACTGTTGAGGACAAATCTTTGTTTTTGTTTTTTTTACTATTAATTACTTAAGATGCCATGTGCAACATTGTGTAATGGTTGCAGCTCCTTACAAACATTGTGTAAAACAAAAAACTTGGCGATTAAAAAGAGTGGCGGAGAGTTTATTGCCAGTTCTTCTCGTCCGTTCTACGGCCTTGATTTGAGAACTGGTAGTAAATGTAAAATTGATCCATTGAATATGTATTTATTTATTGACGTTCATAAGTGTACCTACATTGTGTTACCTACATGAATAAATGATTTTGAATTTTGAACATTGATTTAGTTCATTTAATACTTCTGAAAAACAAAACTTTCACTAAGGGTAAAGATGACGTTTTTCACACATGTGCCGGTGTGGAGTTATCAAGCACCTTGAAAAAATTGGTGTACGAAGTAGGACGCAAGAAGCACGAGACAGATTTCGATGGCCAAAGATGCAGAGGCTAAGCCCCATGAGGGGAACAGCAATTGATTATGACGATGCTGATAATTGTGTATATACGACAATGTCTATTAATTACAAACTAGCAGACCTATCAAAAACATTTGTTTAGCCACATCACACATTCATCACATTTTCGAAGGAATCCAAATTAATATAAAGGCAAGGCACTCGGGATTTGATTACACCGATTCACTGCTCCTCAATTTAGATAACGGGTTGCGCAAAAGCAAAATTGTGAATAAAGAATGTGGTTGTTAATTGTAATGCTGAAGATATAATAAGTAAAGAGGTGTATGTTTAGTTTCCTTCCCTACACTAATAAATGCCATCAAATATTTCCATTACTTACCAGAAGTTAATGGTTTGAGATCAGGTGGTGAGAGATGCGGCAATGAATGGTGCGTTGTCTGCGAAGGTGGCGCGGGGTGGGGGGAAGACGATGGTGAGCCCTGCTTGTCCCTCTTGCCTTCAGCCTTCACAGGTGTCTCGCCAGCCTTCTGTTGAGCTAAGCGTTCCTGTTTACGGAACTTCGCTCTCCGGTTTTGAAACCATACCTGAAATTAAATAAAAGGTAATGTAACATTTAACATATATTTAAAGGTAGGTGGTCCGTTCAGATGTTGCATGCCAATAATGTAGTCGACTAGCACAGCTTTGCGGACACTCCGTATATATTGTGGAGGACCTTTACATAGGGTTGTCTAAAGTAGATTCTGGAAGCTAGCGGCAAACTGCTGCACGCTGTCTTGGTAGGAATTGCATCGAGAGAAAGTACGAGTAGGCTTTTGAATGAATATTAATCTATCCCTAAGCAATGACCCAACTAAAAATTTATACAAATTGATTGTTATGTAGCGACACCTTTATTATATGGCTATAATCACAGCGATGACGTCGTTCCCTAGAACGCGCTAACGAGGTAATTCCGAACGCTTAGGATATACAACTGCTCCATCTTAGGCAATGAGGATCTGTAGGTCAGAGAAATACAGAAAATTCAAGCCTATATATTTGAAAAAAAATATTACACGTCCAAATAAAAACTTCCTTGGTTTCATTATAACTTATAAGTCATTTAATATAAATAAATGTATGAAGAACTTTCTAATAGCAGTTTTCTAACTAAAATACTTATTAGCTTTGTTAAATCATCTTTGAACCGTAATGAGAAAGAGATGCTTTACCGGTGTGAAATTTGTCAACTGAATGCCTATTTAATTATATTAAGGCTATATTACACAGTGCCATTGCGGCATGCCACAAACCCGCATGCTACATTGTTAAAAATGTCGCACATTGTGGCAGGAACCGTGCGGCATGGCAATACCTTTGTCATGGACAGATTATAGCAGCTTGTATCCGGGCACAATGGATTCCATGCGACATTTTTCTTGCGTCAAAACAGTTTGTATTTGTTTTGGAAAGTGAGAATTATCGGTCATGAAGTGGTGTAACGAAAAATGTTTAGACTTAATAAAATTAAAAATAAATAACTAAAAACTTTAAAAAGTCCGCAAAGTCCTCAGTTGATACTCAGGTAAAGTTTTTAAAAAAGGCAGACCATTTTTGTTCGTAAACTGGTCCGTGGGCCATTCTGAAGTAATTTTCTTTTTCATCAACGTCTCATCTTCCATTGTTTAGCTTCATGGCTTAGTTGTACTAAATAAGCTGCATCTAAAGTTACTTGATCAGCAATATTCGTTATTACGTAAACCAGCCTTTAGAGCCATAAACTTAAACCAAAAGCATTATTTTCAAAACATATCGTTTAACACACCGTTTTCGTTCGAAAGCGCGCAAATCCGAATTGATCGTAATCCAATTTCATGCGAGCGATAATTGCAACTGCCACTGGTGCTGATTGGGCAATCCTCAAAAAATGCTTCACGAATATCGGACTATTGGCAATCATACGCACGCACTGTTTGCTCATCCACGTACACGTTGATGATGTTTGCTCGTTTTTTTTAAATGACCCGTCTGTTATAAAAGCGATGAAGTGTAACAATTTTATGCTTTTACTAAAGGATATCCGAATCAACGATTCTGATTCAATAAGTTGCATTCTTTCAAAATGACGCGCATTTGATTGGAACCTATTTGATTAGGAGATTATATTGGCGTTTTTAATAAGCTTTAACGCGTCCGCGCTGATATTTCATTGGTAGGTTAATGGCCTTAATAATTAGAAAAAATTGAACAAAAGGAGCCTAAAAGGATTTTTTTAAACTAATTTATAATTAAGTAGTATTTCGTGATTAATTAATGTATGATGATTTATTAATGTAGGTAAGATCAGAAACACTTCTGCTAATAGTGATGATTGAATTTCGAATTTTTATTTTAACTGTTTATGATTCTTCTATATAGACAAGCTTCAAAAGAAAATAATGACAATTTAGTTTTATATTTATTATTAGCCCACGTTTTCTTGGCAGCTATATTGAAAGACGTTAATGAACTTAGTTTTCTCGAAAACCGTAATAGTTATTCAATTCGTCATACGATTTTGGCTTCAGTTCGTCATTTGTCGCTGACAGCATAAAAACTATGATTTATTACTATCTGTACGAATTTTCGTGTTAAATACATAACTATTTAACTGTGAGCGAATCCAACACACAAATATATATTATGTACAATATTCTTAACCTACATAGTAATAATAATTATTAAAAATGGATAAATGAAAATTAAAATAAATTTAACAAGATTGGTACCTGTAGCGTACCTTTAATGCTGGCAGCAATTCCTCGATGTATTGCAATACTTATTCGTTGAACGAGTAAAGCAACAGTTCTAGGGTCACAGGGCCAGGGCGCTATCCTGTGTATTCTTTGTCCTGTTCACCCTTTCATATTTCTCTATATCGCTATCACATTTCACTTACTCCGTTGGCGCACAATGTGAATCTTAGCCGAGACAAGACATCACATTTCGTTTATTATTACAGTAAAACTAATAAACAAAGGTATCTATCGATTTTTGTATATTCTATTTATTCATTACACAATAGGCCAATAAAATAGTTTATAGTAGCTATACATGACTAAATATAGAGAGATGTAAGAAGTATTAAAACATTTAGTTCCAATATAGCGTCGCAAGAGTTCTAATTGAATATATACGATAGGACAGCAGATGTCGGATTTGTCAATCCTGATTTGGTGATATCTCGGACAAAATCAGTTGCTTAAATGACATTGGAATCAAAATATACATTATACAGTCTGTAAATTGTCGTGACACAAACAGCTGCTATGCATCATAGTACATGCTTCATCATACACAATGACATATGACTATCACAATTATGATGCGAATATTTGGCTCATCTCACACCCACATTATTTATTATTATTTATAGCATATAAAGTATATTTAGATTCGTCAATGAAAAAACATATAAAATTAGTAAAAAGTATAAAAGTATTTATCCAATAACTGGCTTCTATGGCGTTATATTGTAAAGACAGACACGCAAGAATGGAGGCACCGGTGCTGAAGGGTGATCACTGATTGTATATAAAGTAATATGAGCAAGAGATACAGAAATCTCAGGCCAATACAAATAGTTGTAGCTACACTGATTTTTGAAGTGATTTTTTTCTTGCAACGTCGATTTAAAAGTCAATGAAACGAAAAAGCGACAGTAAAAAGAGACCGACACATAAATTCATAAGATTTACATATTATTAATTATAAAAACTTTTTTAACCATTGTAGCTTTAATCAAAATTAATAATTGATATTAAACTGAATAATTGGAACTACATTCGTCTCATTGTACTTAAACCAAAATATTTGAAGGTTTCTTCCACTTGACCGTATACAACGCAGAGCGGTTCGAATCGTCGACGACCAATCCCTCTCCGAGCGGCTTGATCCTTTGGCGTTGCGTAGAGATGTGGGGTCACTCTGCATCTTCTACCGCATTTACCATGGAGAGTGTTCAGAGGAGTTGTTCCCGAACCAATTCCCGAACCAATTCGACTTAGGGTCCTTCAAGAAAAGAGCGTACCAATTCTTAAAAGGCCGGCAACGCACTCGCGAGCCCTCTGGCATTGAGAGTGTCCATGGGCGGCGGTATCACTTAACATCAGGTGAGCCTCCTGCCCGTTTGCCCCCCGTTCTATATAAAAAAAAAAAACCTGCGAATGGCACATACGTTTTTTTTATTAAGACAATTATGGGTCTCAAGATCACTAATGAGACAAGCTGAGGATAAAGTAGAAGCAGCAAGCCGTCGTATTGGTTAGGGCTTTCCAACACATACTTATCATAAATTATATCAGATCTTTATTTGAAAAAAATATGAATAAGGTTAAGTGGACTGTATTATTAATAGAAGATAAATAAAGATGCCTTGAGCGGAGTGTAAGTTGCAAATCTGATGCTCTGCTCAGCTCCTTAAGATGGTGCATTGCTCTAAATTTTCAGAGTCAATAATGAAGGCGACTTGCAGGTTTGTTCACACTGTCCAGAACGTCCGTTCTTTACATAGGACTGTCTAAGGTAGACTCTGAGGGTTGCGGTAAACCGCTGCGCGCGATACCTTGGTAGCATTACAAAGTGAGGGTAGGCTCATGGATTATTAAGCTACCCGTATGTACTATTTATTTACCGGTGAACCCCGGTGATGGTTTGTGAATCTAAACCATTCAGGGCGTCACCCAAACGCATACAAAAAAAATCATTCAAATCGGTCCAGCCGTTTAATAGGAGTTCAGTTACATACACACGTTCAGCAGAATTATCTTAATATATATACATTACGTGTCACGATGTTTGTCCGCTATGGACTACCGAACCGATATCAATCAAATTTGTACACCGTGTGTAGTTTGATCCAACTTAAAATATAGGATAGATTACATCTCAATTTATACCCGCAATGTAATTTTATTGCAAATTATTTCTTTATTATTTGACACAATTCTAACAGATGGCGCTGTGTTGAAAGTACCAACGATTCATATAACCTACAATTTAATGGCCTAGCCACCAAAAAAGCATGGTGATCCCCATGACTGTTGTTCTCCTACCGTTTCCTTTGAATAGTTTACTACTTTGTAATATAACAAAAACCTTAGTCACAGCTGAATTGTATGCTGGTGAAGTATTCTTAAATTTTTTAATTTTCCGCGCAATTTTCTTATTTTTTTCTTTCTGACAATAACAAACACAACAAAAAAGAATTAGCGAAATCGGTCCAGCCGTTCACGCGTGATGCCGTGACCAATGGAAATAGGGATTCATTTTTATATATATAGATATTCATAAAGAGCAGTGATATCATTCCTATTTTAAGGCACGAATAACGCGATAGCGGACATTACTATTTAATTATTCGCATATACGTGCCGTAACATTCAAGGGTTTTTAAAAACATTTATTATAATCTTTTATATAAAATACTATAGTTCGTAGAACCTAACACGCGTAAACAATATATCTAAAATGCGCCGTAAAAATATTTGCTATATATTTCCAAACTGATGAGGTCACGGTTCATTTCGTATAATAAAGATTTCTCAAGTTCTATGAAATCTCTGTTCCTCCAAGTGTAAAGGTCCCACGTACGTGCTCAGTTTAACCAAGCTAACTGGGAAGGCGACTAACGAACCCTATGCTTCATTGGAGCTGGGTCACGGTTGGCCCCGGGCATTACTCGAATTGGAAAAAATCAGAGCTCGTACCAGAAAACAAATACACCATTGCCAATACAAATGAGAAGCGATATGGCCAACGGAATGTGGAATCGAGCGTGGGCCCGGAGCAAATATACGCGAATGTGTTTGTAGAAATTTGTTGCGATGTTTATCGAGACGTGCGTGCTACTAATGCAAACATTTTATTGCGAGTTTAATAAAATTTAAGTATTAAATTAAATTTAAGTATTAAATTAAATTTAAGTATTAAATTAAATTTAAGTATTAAATTAAATTTAAGTATTAAATTAAATTTAAGTATTAAATTAAATTTAAGTATTAAATTAAATTTAAGTATTAAATTAAATTTAAGTATTAAATTAAATTTAAGTGTATATTGGTGAGGGAAAACATCGTGAGGAAACCAGCTTGCCTTAGACTTAGTAATTGCAAACCAATTCGACTTAGAGACCTTCAAGAAAAGAGCGTACTAATTCTTAAAAGGCCGGCAACAAACTCGCAATTCCTCTGGCATTGAGTGTCCATGGGCGGCGGCATCAATAAACATGAGGTGAGGCTCCTGCCCGTTGGCCCCCTATTCTTTAAAAAAATATATACTGGATATATTATATTGGGGTCCTAGCGCTATAAGGCTTTTTAAGTAAATATCAAAAAGGTTAGTCGACATCACAGGAGACCGAAGAGCTGGCAGCTACCTCGGATAAAGAATAAGTCTAGCTATTCAAAGAGGGAACGCTGCCAGAATCTTCGGAATCTTGCCTAAAGGGACTCCTTTTAATAATATAGTTATATTTGAAGGTTAGTTATTGTTTTTATTGTTCTTCTTTAAATATATAAACCAAACTATTATACTGGATAAATTTTATATAGAATATTACGATTGCTTTTAATAAACGTAAGTTTACTAGAAACAAAACTAGAACAAAAACAAGACGAAACTAAACAGCATTTCAATCAAATGTCCTTTAATGCCAACAATATTCGGACAAATGTCAATAATAAATAATGGCAATGGGCAATTAAGCCGGGGTCAGAACAATCGGCTGGGCATCGAAATGCACTTTGCAAATGAAGCAGATAGGGCAGGCGGGGGCGGGCGGGAAATGTAATTAAACAGAGATGCACGCGCCCTGCACAGATGCTAAACGATACAATTGTTATCACAGTAGATGATCGTGTACGAAATAATTTGCAGATTTATTTATTATCTTTTTTGTAATTTAATATTTACTTAATAGTTTGTTATAACTATTTCATTTTGAAAGGCGAAAAGTTGATGAGATTTTAGACTTGTATGAGTTGGAAAATTATTAATTTCCATCACTTGCTTGCGTATATACTAAATATATAATCACTAATATTTATTAACTACCTAATATTTATTAAATATCAA